GGAGCTCACTTGTTTTGGCTGTTGAGTTTGCCTACATTGATCACGAGTTCCCTGCAAGCTGTCCTCTTGCTTAGGAGTCAAGCCTGTTGACCTTGGCTTGACAATCTGTGTGTTGGCTCCTTTGCCATCTTCTAGTAAACAATAATCCTTGGCTTTTTGTTTGGAGTGAAGGTTTTTGCTTGACCACAAGTTGCCTAGTCTTGTCCTGTCCTCCGGCTTCCGTCCAGTAATAGCCAACATTCTATGTGCTGTTTGGAATGCCTGCCTTAGGCCCTGAAAAAGCAGCTGGATGAACCTGGGTTGGGAGGATTTCTTAGGTTGCCTCTTGTAAGAAGCTGAGCTTGTTTGAGCAGTTTCAGTACTCTTGCTTCTTGATGGATCCGTCAGTGTTCCCGAAAGGCTCTCCTCTGTGATTCTACTGGTTTTGTAGAGCTTTGTGTTTTGTGTTTTAAGTGCCTGGGTGATTTTCTTCACTGGATATTTTAAGTCAGAGGTCTTTCTGAGGCTTGATTTAACCCATTTTTCATCCTGGTTACTTTCAAAGCCACTCTCTGATAAGGAGTGAACCTGACAGAATTCATAGTGCCCGGAGTCTTTGGCTTCTGTCTTTCCTACCACACCATTGCTATCCCAATGCTTTTGTCTAACGTGAACTTGTACGGAAGCCGGGGATTGAGAGGATCTGGACTGGAAATCTCTTGTAGAAATTAAACTCTTGGAAGCCAGAGTATAGACTTTAGTTTTCCTTCGTGATGGTGGTGCAGTACTCTTCCATGTTTCCGTTCTGTGTCTTCTACGATACTTTGAGACTTGAGGTCTTTTCCCAGTTCTCAATCTAAAACCAAGATGCAACCGAATCTCACCATGGCCTTCAGGGGTGCTTAAAAGGTGGATCTGAGGGTAGATAAGAAGATAGGGCCCAAAAGCAGACTGTAACTTATGACAGCAATTAAATCCTGAGCACCGGCCACACTGCAAGCAGATTGGATATTTCAGGACGAGACCCGATGCTAGAGGTGGAGGGACATTATGGGGTATTTGACTCCTTAAGAGTTTCGCTGCTATTTTTAGCTGTAGATCTTTTAGCAGGTGGAGCTGTTCCGAAATATCAGTCTTGGCCTGGGAAAGATAACTTGCTTTGAGGGAGTGGTGAGACTCAAAAGTCCTTATCGGAGAATCACTCTGTAAGTTTTTATTCTGCTCCCTGGGAACAGGATCTTCTCTAGTGTAAAGTATCCCGATAGGAGACTCTGACTTCGCTAAGGCAGGAAACTGGGCCCCTGGACATGAGACAGGCACTTGCTGAGTGACTTCCTGGAATATATCACTGAGTTTTGAGTTTGTTTTCTTTATTCCCAGTCTAGTACCAGAGTATTGCTGTATTATGGAAGATGTGGATCCACGTGTCCACATTTTTAAGGGCATTCTTTTCTCATTACCATGGCATAAAATATGTCTCTGAATATAGTTTTTGAACACTGAAGTCTGAGAAATTGTCCTTGGACCCCTCTCTACTAGGCTCTGGGAAAATTCCATCAGTTCAGCTGGAACTCCAAATAAATTCTGAATAGATCGACAGATATCCATAGTGGTTCCTTCTGTTAAAAATGGTTGAGAACAAAGCTTCCTTTCCATAGTGGTACCCAGAACATTCCCCAGCATTAGCATATTGGAGAGATATTTTCTAGGCAATCGCTGCCTACAGACATGACTTTCCCAGACATTCTGTTGTCTGCCTAGGAAAGAACGGATAGGGTTTCTTCGAGCTCCTAATCCTGCCTGAAACTCTGAGGGTAGTAATCTCAGTGGATATGGAGAATAGCTCTGGAGTGAATCCCCAAATTCCTCCATTTGCTTCTTTTCAGCTCCTTCCTTAGATATGACATCCATTTCCCAGATCTCAGGATATAGGGTTCCCACAGTGTTCCCTGTCTTATCAGAGGGAAGGACCAAGGGAAGAGTTGATGATCGTATCATAATGGTATCTTTAAAGGACTTGGGAGACTGCAAAATACCAACACCAAAGTTCTTCATAGCCAAGGCTCTGGATACCTCAGGCATCCTAGAACCCTGAAGGGTTGCTAATTCAGTTGTTTTGACAGAGCTTGAAATAAATGGGATTGAAGGGCTGTGTATGAACCTGGAGAAGTAATTTTCTGCTTGCAATTTTTCTGATATTATCATTTCTGAGTCTCTATTCTGTGATACCCGTCCTTGATTCAAATCCTTAATTTCCATATCTTTCGGAGATTCTGTTTTGGTCCCTAGAAATTTTTCAGCCTGAAGCCTTTGCTTGTGAGTTAATGCTGAAGGTTCCTCAAGTGGAGATGTTTGCTGTAAGATTAATTGTGCAGAATTCCCTTGAATATTTGCCCTTGGAGTTTGTTCCATAGGTTTTACCATGTCTTGAAGATGTGGTCTTGGGAGTAAATTCAAACAATCTTTTACTTTAATGCTTGATCTTGTGGCAACTCTTACTGGTTTGATAGCCTGAGGACTTGGTCCTGGTGCCAGTTCTTCAGATTTTACCATCAGAAGCAGTGGTTTGGGGACCAATACAGTCTTTATAACTTGGAAGCCCAACAAGTCAATTGTTTCTAAAATTTGATGTGTTGGCTCCGCAATTAATTTCTTAGATTCCACATTTTGTAGCCAAAGTCTTGGAGCAAATTCTGAAAATATCACATCATGCAATTTGGGAGTTGAATCAGCACATTTTGACACTTGAGAGGTAGGCTCTGGTATCATCACAGACTTTATAACTTGAAGTGGTGGTCCAGGGATCACTGTCACAGATTCAGAAACTTTGGGGAGAGCCACTGATAGAGGACCTTGAAGCTGTGTCTTTGCAGATTCTGTCACTTGATCTAATGACTTTGGACTGACCTTTACAAAGTTTATAATTTGATCCAGTGATTCTATTGGCGTTATGCTTGCATTTCCCATGTTTGCATGCTGGGGCTTTGTTAGCCTATGGGCTTCCTCCCCTGACTGCCTTGGTGGACACACTACAGATCGTTCCCTTTGGGATCTTTTCTCAGAGCTCACCACCACAGGTCCTAAGTCTTGAGGACATGGCCTTGGAGATTTTTCTGAACATTCAGTCTCTCTATTTACTGTCTTTGAAGTCACTCTAAGAAATTCTTTTCCTTGTCTTGCCTCACAAGTTAGTTTCATCATTTCTGCAACACGATTCTTGAAGTCGAGGGTCATTCTATCAGATCCTGTGACTTGTTTTGTCTGTAACTCTTTGAAATCTTTATATTGAGGCCACGAACAAGAAAGCAACTCCAGAGTGTCTGGGGTTGGGTAGCTTTTCTGTGGGGTCAGTTCTGAGAAATTTGAGTCTTGATCACTTGGTGTTGGAGTTAGATCAACTAATGCTAGCACTGGAAGATCTAGCTGCTGAGGCATCCCTAATGATTCTGTGACTTTATCTGTTGGTTTGGGGGCCAACCTCATAGATTTCTTTATAGCTTCTGTGCTTCTATGTCCCAACCCTTTTGTCATTTCTGAAGATCCCATATCTTGATAATTCACCAATTTAGGGACTTGGTGCCTTATCTTCGTTCTTATCTCTGCATACTCCATCAGCTGGTGCCCGAGTCTACACATCATTTCAGGGGATTCTGTAATTTCATTACTTGTTTGGGGAATTTGGTTCCCAGATGTCACATTTTGGTTTCCAGATGGCATATTTTGAGGGAGTGGCCTTGGTGATAACCACACAGAGTTTCCAGCTTGTGGCAAAGACAGTGACGAAAATTTCACATGTTTTACACTTTGCCACTTCGGCTCTGATGTAAATTCCATAGACTTCCGATATTGTTGTGATTCTGGAGTTAAATTTGAAAATTTGACACTCGTCAGTGCTGGTCTTGCTAAGAACTTCCTGGTGGACTCTGGTGTTAATACCATTGGTTTCTTATCTAAAGGAAGCTGTTGGGATCCTAGACTTAGTGGCATAGATTTTATATCTTGAAAACATGGCTTTGGTGCAAAGGAAGACTTAGCACATTGAGAACTGTGGCCTGGTGTGAATTCTGAATATTTCACATTTTGAGACTGTGACCCTGGCTTCATCTGAACAGATTTATCGTTTTGAAAACAAGGTTCTGTTGAAAATTCCTTACTTCTCAAATCCTGCAGACCATAGCCAGGGGTCAGTTTTGTAGGATTTGTACAAAGCAGTGGCTGTTTGCTCACCTCTGAAGACATTCTATCTTTACTAAGTGGTGTTGGTAAAACTCCCACAAATTTCACATCATTTGACTGAGGTCTCGAAGCAAACATGGGTTGTGCAGTTTGCTGCCCTGACCCAAGCTGGTTCTTCAAAAATGGGATCTCTTGAAACTTTGCCCTTCCCACTAAGTTTGATGACTTCCTACCTTGAAAAGGTGGTCCAGAGTTCAACAGAAAAGATTTTTTACATTGATATTCTGATGCAGGGGTCAACTTTATGTTTTGCAACTGTGGCCCTGAATTTGTGTGTTGCGATTTTAATCCTGGAGTCACTTCAGAAAAGTTCACACATTGTACCTGTGGCCCTGGGTTGTATCCTACAGGTGCTACACCTGTAATATTTGACCCTGGAGTTAATTCATGCTTCAAATCTTGCATCTCTCTTTGAAGTCCTGTCTCTGGGATCAACTCAGAAAACTTTATACCTTGAAGGTTTGGAGCTTGTAAATGTGGCACAGAGTTGTATCCGGTAGAATTTATAGGCTGAGTTTGTCTTAGAGTACATGCAGAATTATTCACATCTTCAAAATGTTTTTTGGTATTGCACCAAACAGGATTCACACACATAATTTGTGGTGCTGGAAATGTTGTACAAGAATTCATACTTTGCCCAAGATTATACCTATTAGAATGTTCACACTGAGGGTTTTGCTCTGGAGTAGACCCAGAAGGGTGCACACCTTGCAAATGTGATGTAGGAGTGCACCCACTAGAATCTACACACTGAATTTGTGACCCTAAAATTGATGCCCATTGATTCACACCTTGCAAAGTTGTTTCAGGATTGTACTCAGTGGGATTCGTGCATGGAGGACTTGGCCCTGGGGTACTTACAGAATAATTTACATCTTGCAAATTTAGCTCATGGATGCACCCAGTAGAATCTACATGTTGCAAATTTGGTCCTAAAATGCACGCAGAAGAATTCATTCCATGCAAATGTGGCCCAGGGTTGTACACAGAATGTATACATTGAGGACCTGGCTCTGGAATGCATACAGAGGAATTTATATCTTGCAAATATGGCCCAGGTTCACACCCGATGGAATTTATATATTGAGAATTTGCACTGGGAGTCCATGAAGAATTCATACTTTCCAAGTGTGGCCCAAAGCAGAAAACCTTAGATTTTACATCTTGAAGATCTGGACCAGGGTGCAACTCAGACGATTTTACATTTTGTGTTCCAGTGTTGGATGCGATAACATTTTTATAGTGAATCTGTGGCCCTGGACTCTGGTCACAGGATGCACTACCTTGCAGTCTAGGCTCATGCTTGAATTGCAGAGATGTTTCATCTAGCAGCTTGGTCTCTGCACACACCTCTTCCAACTGTGGCCCAGGGTTGAACTCTAAAGACTGCATACCTGTTCCCAGGCTCAAGTCAGAGGACTTCACATCTTGCAACTGTTGCTCTGAGTTGAAGTCCATAGATTTCAGGTCTGGAAGCTTTCTACATAATTCTGATGACTTAATATGTTGCAAATGTGGCTCATGACTAAACACTATTGGCTGTATACTTTGAAGCTGTTGCTTTTGACTTGACTTGTGAGATTTCCCATCTTGCTTCTGGTTTCTGGCCTTGAGTTCAGGTCCCACACTATAAATTGTTGAGTTCAAGGCCTGCTCAGAGAATCCCCCTACCTGTGATTCTGTACCATGATTGATCTCTGTATCTTTCACTGTTTGGATATTTGTGGGCTCAGCTTTCACATCTTTCAACTCTGACCCAGGATTGACTGCCTCAGGGTTCAATCCTTGGAGATGTAATTCTGGTATTAACATAGGTAATTTCCTGTCCTGTGATTGAGGGAGTAACTCCAACTGCAAAGGTTTCTTGTCAAGTGCCTTCCAGAAAGTCCACTTAAAAGAGTTGACATCTTGCCACAGTGGCTGATCTACAAAGCCCATGGGTTTCTCTTTTTTAAGCGAGTCCTCTGAAGTCACTTCAGAAGGCATCATACCCTGGAAGCCTGGGCCAGAACTGACTTCCATCCATCTTCCATCTTGAAGCTTTGCCCCCAGAGTTGGCTTAGAACAAGTCTCATCTTGTAATTGAGGGCCTGAGTTTAACTTCACAGATTCCTCCTTAGAGGGCTTGATCTCCACTGGCACCCCTTGTAACTTTAGGCTTTGATTAAACTCCACAGATCCCATATCTTGGAGCCTTTTCCCTTGAGCCAACTCAGATAGCTTTTTATTTTGTGGCTGTGGTTCAGAATTGAAGTTCATCGCTTTTACACCTTGGGGATGTATTTGTGTTACTACCTCAGAAGATTTTATATTTGCCACATGTTGTCCCATAGAATTCACTTCTTGAAGTTTCACACTCATGATGAGCTCAGGGTATTTCAAATCTTGTAAAGATGCACCTGAGTCCAGGTCTACAGATTTTGTGCCTAAGAACATCTTCCTAGGGGTAAAATCAGGTTTCTTACCTTGTAACTTTGAAGTAGGTTTGATTTCTGCTGATTTCATGCCATGAACCCTCTTCTCTGTAATGACTTCAGATGTCATATCTTGTAAGTGTGGTCCAGGACCAAAGTCCACAGATTTGACATCTTGGACCTGTATACCCATGATTGTCCTTGAAGATTTCAGATCTTGTAACTGTGGGCTTGATTCACAGTCCTCCATTCTCATTTCTTGAGGTTTTGTCCTTAGAATTGAATTGGGTTTTGTACCTTGTCGCTGTAGCCCAGGTTTACAGTCTAGCTTGACACTTCGAATCTTGGTTCCCATAGCTAACTCAGTAAATGTTTTACCTTTCAACTGTGAGCTGGGACTTGACTTAGTACATTTCATATTTTGGGACTCTGTTTCAGGTGTCAAATCAGAACATTTTTCACTTTGCCACTGGGGCCCAGAGTTGACCTCAGATTTCATACCTCGAGACTTTGTTTGAAGCGCTAACTCAGAGGATTTTGCACTTTTCAACTCTATATTGTTTTGTGATTGTGGCCCTTGGCTTAATACCCCATATTTCACTTCTGAGGACTGTGATTCTTGTTTAAACACTACAGATGTCACAGCTTGAGGCTGTGTTCCTGGGGGTGGCCCTGAGGGTTTCACTTCTTGTGGCTGTATTCCAGGGTTCAGTCCAGGAGCAGTCATGTCTTCTAAGTGAAACTTGGGTTTGAATGCCAGTTTTGCATTATTGATTTTTGACCTTAAGGTTGGGTCACATGCTTTCATACTTCTAAACTGTAGCTCAGATTTTAAATCAATGGCTGTGAACCTTTGAGGCTGATGTCCCTGGATTGACCCTGAAGGTTGTTTACTTTGTAACTTTGGCTTTAAGGTCAACTCATCAGATGTCTTCGAATCTCTTAGGTGTACCAAGGGTTTTAACCCTTTAGCTGTGACATCTTGAGATTGTAACCCTTTAAAATTCAGCATAGGTTTCTTAACTTGACAGTCAGACACTGGTATCCACTGAACGGATTTTGTATTTTCAAGCTGTGGCCCGTGGTGTAATGCCACACTTCTCACACACTGAGACTGTGGCTCTAAGGCTGATGTAACATTTTTCTCTTTGTGTAGCTCTGTTTCTGGGGATGCCTCAGGGGTTTTTGTGTACTGTTCTTGTGCCCCAAGGTTAAAATCCACGGATTTTTTTCCTTGAAGTTTTGGCCCTATAGTCATTTCAGGTGGCTTCACCCCTCCCAACTGTATGGATGGTTTCTGTTCTGTAGATTTGACACCTTGAGATGGTGACCCACGATTTAATCCTAAAAACTTCACACCTCGGAACTCAGGTCCTGGTAGCCACTGGATGGATCTTATATGTCCAACCTGTGGCTCTCTGTTTAGCTCCACAGTTTTAATACCTTGAGGCTGTGGCTCTGAAGTGGATGCAAAGTTTTCCTCTTCTTGTAGCTGTGGTTCTGGGGATGCCTCAGGAGTCTTTATATACTGTATTTGTGGCCCGAGGTTAAAATCCACAGATTTTTTTCCTTGAAGTTTTGGCCTCGGAGTCATCTCTGATGGCTTTACACCTCCCAACTGTATGGATGGTTTCTGTTCTGCAGGTTGGACACCTTGAGATGGTGATCCACGATTTAATCCCAAAAACTTCACTCCATGGAACTCAGGTCCTGGTAGCCGCTGAATGGATCTCACACTTTCAACCTGTGGCTCTCTGTTTAGCTCCACAGTTTTGATCCCTTGAGCCTGTGATTCTGAAGTTAAGTTACAGGTTTTGGTTTTCTGAAGCCCTAGTGCTAATGGAGAAGTTTTTACTTGCTGTGACTGGGGCTCAGGATGAAACCCCACAGATTTCTCCCCTTGAATTTTTGGCCTGATAGTAAATTCAGATGACCTCATGCTTCTCCATTGTGCAGATGGCTTCAATTCTGTAGGTCTGGTGCTTTGAGAACGTAGCCTTAAATTTGACCCTATACATTTCCCACTTTGAAACTCAGATATTGGTATCCATTGAATAGATTTTGTACTTCCAGATTGTGACTCTGTTTTTAGGGCCATACTTTTCACATCTTGAAGTGGTGACTCTGATATTGACTCCAAGGATTTTACTTGGTGCATCTGTGGCATCTCTGGTCCTGGAGTCAACTGGCAAGGTTTCATACTTTGCACCTGTGACTCATACTGGAACACTTTAGTTTTTACATTATGAACAACTGGTTCAGGAGCCAATTCAAATGCGGGTGTATCTTTAAATGGTACCTTAGAGCTGACCTCTGTGGATTTTATGTCTGCGGGTTTGGGTTCTTGATCTGACCCCATAGACAATACATCTTCTAATTCAAACTGTGTTTTCAGCCCAACTTTCCACTCTGCTGAGTTCACAGTTTTCTGGTCATCCTGTCCAGGCTCAAGAGTTAAATCCATGGGTGCCATTTCTTGACACTGTTGTGTTGAGACTGAACCCACAAATTTTACTCCTTGGATCCCTTGTATTTTGGCCATATTCACAGGTTTTGGATTTTGCGGTTTCAAACATGAGATGATCAAATGTTTCTTATCTTGCGTTTGTGGCTGTGAAGTTGGTTCCTTAGGCTTTATGCCTTGCAACACATCTGTAGACTTATCCTGAAATAGCACCTCTGGCACAAAAGTCACAGGACTCTCCCCATGCTTCTTTATACCTTGCAACGCATCTGTAGACTTACCCTGAAATAGCATCTCTGGCACAAAAGTCACAGGACTCTCCCCATGCTTCTTTGGTTCGAGTCTCGAGCCCATGGTATTTACATCTTGAACCCATGTATCACAGGCCAACCCCACAGTTTTCAAATCTTGAATTCTTGAACCTGGAATCAACTTCACAGATTTTAAACCATCTTGCTGGGAACTACTTGGGGATACCACTGTAGATTTTATCCTTTCTAGACATTGTCCTAGAGTTAAGACCCCAGATTTCCTATCTTCTAACTGTGGTCTTGAAGGTAGTAACTCAGATTCTAAACCTTTCAAATTGGAGCCTGGAGACAGCTCCTCAAGTTCCTTTTGTCCTGCTTGTATCCCTGGGGTTGACAGCATAGATTTGAATTTTCCCAGCTCTGACTCCTTAGATTTCATGTCTCCCAAATGTGGCCCTAGCATTAACTCCTCTTGCTTTGAGGCTGCGATCTTCTCCACAGGTTTTATATATTCCAAATGCTGTTCGTGGATCAATTCATAAGATCCTATACCTTGTTCCTGTGGTCTTCTAATCAACTCAGAAGCCAATGTCCCTGATTCTGTATTTGATATCTGTGGCTCCAATGCTACTTTATAAGACATTTCTTCTTCAAAGCTTGGTGCTTGATTCCCTGTGACATATTTTATATCGTTAAACAGTGACTCTTGTACTATTAACTCTGGTTTCATCCCTTGCCTCTCTGGCTGTGTGGTCATCTCAAAAATTTTTACACACTCTAACTGTGGCCCCAAGTTTAACTCTGAAGTCTTCACACCTTGAGATTGAGTTCCTGGCATTACATCGGAAAATTTTACATTTTGCAGGCATGGCCCTGCATTAAAACTCGTCTGCTTTGTATCTTGTGGCCCTAGAGTTATCTTTGCTAAGTTGGGATCATGTATGCTTACCTCTGGAGTCATGGAACTCATACCATGAAACAATGATCCTGGAGTTTGCTCCCCAAATTTGACCCCTTGAAGTTTTGGCCTAGAAGCCAACTCAGAAAATTTGGCATCTTGTTGCCACAGTCCTGTGTTTACCTCCTGGGGGATCACACTTGGATATTGTGGCTCAGGGGTTGGTATTGTGAGTTTCATGCTATGAAACTCTGATACTTCCATAGGCAGAACAAGCTTCATATCTTCAAGCCGTGGCTCTTGGCTTAATGGTGAAAATGATTCTGGCATAAACCCCTGAGACAAGCTGTCTTGAAGCTGAATACCTGGTATGAACTGTATGTGTTTGAAACCTTGGTGCTTGGGCTCAGGGATCTGATCAGAGAATCTCACATTTTGCAAGCATGGTCCTACATTTACTTCCACAGACGTCACATGTTGTGATTGTGGTTGTGGTTGTGGTTCTGGAACCTTTGACCCCAGGATAAAATCTGATGATCTGGTTTCTGGCACCGGGGATATTGCTTCATCAGATTTCACACCATAATGTGGGGGGCCTGAGATGAAATTAACTGGGTTTTCCCCTTGAAGAAATAGCCCTTGATAGAAGTTTGGAAATCTGACATTTTGCAATTGTGGCCCTGGAATCAGTCCAGATTTGACACTTAGCTTCTGTGGGGCTAGATTTAGATCCACAGATTTCAGACTTGGAGGCTGGGTCCCCTCAATAAGTTCCTTCGGTGATAAACTTTGGAGTCCTGGCTCTGGTTTTATCTTTTCAGGATCTGCCATTCCTATAGATGACTGTTGTATTACATTTACAGATTTCTCGTTTTGCAACTGTGATTCTGTATCTATTTGCCCAGACTCTATTTGGTGAAGCTGTGGCCCTGGGATCACATCTTTAATATGTGGTTTGGGTCCTGTAGTTAGCTCTGTAAGTTCTACAACTAGTACAGATGGTTCATCGATTACTTCTACAGATTTCAAATTTTGTGCCAAGGACTCTGATTTCTCACCTTGCACTCTCGGGTCTAGACTCAACCCCAGAGATCCCATTTCTACAAATGGTTCTGCGATTGTCCCCTGGGTATCATCAACTTTAGGCAATGTCAATCTGATTGTCTCAGTGTCTTCATATTCTGGTCTCACAGTTATTTCTGATGGGTTAGTAACTTCCGAACATGGTTCCAGAGTCACATGAACAAATTTCCCATCTGGGTGCTGTGGCTCTGGGACCATCACTCCTGAGTTCAGATTTTGCACTTCTGATTCTGGTAGTAAATCCAAAGTACCTTTAATTGCATTTTGTGATTCTAGAGGCTCTTCCATTTCTTTTACAATTTGGGTCCTAGTTACAAGAACATCTTGGAGTGGTGGTGAGCTCATCTCCATAGATTCTGAGGTTTGGCTCAGTGGTGCCAGAGTCATCCCTAATGGTAATTGTGTCAACTCAACAGATTCTTCCACCTGATGACAAGTTTCAGAGGTGACTCTGGCTTCTGAGGCTTTGTGCTGTAGGACCAGTCCTTCTGGTTCTGGGAAATGATAGCTTGGGTCAGAGCTCACTTCTAAGGAATTTACTGCATAAAGATGTGTGCTTGGGATCAACTCATCAACTTTTCTACTTCTACCTTCTACCAATGGAGTCTTTGTATCTTCAAGCAATGATACATGGGTTATCTTATCAGAGCTGGTGTTTTGTGAATATGGTTTTGGGGCCAAGTTCACAGATTTTGTATCTTCAAGTGATGGTCTTGGAGTCAACTCCACCATTTTTATATCTCCTTGTAACTCCTGTGGTAGAGCTGAATGAACATCTTCCATACCTTGAGATGGTGAACATGGGATCAAATGTATTGATTTACTATTTTGCAACTGTGGATCTGGGGCCAGCCCAGAAGATTGTATGTTTTGGGGTTGTGGTCCAACTGTCAGTTGGCCAGATTTCATATCTTGAAGCTGGGACGTTGGGGCTGATGGCACAGATTTCTCACTTTGCAATGGTGGCATGGGAGTTAATTCCTCAAATTGCATATTCTGCTGATGCAGTTCTGGGGTCAAATCTGTAGGTACCACTGTTGAGGTCTGTGGGGCATATTTCACTGTTTCTGGAACTAAATCCACAGATTTCATACTTTGCAATCTTGGATCTGGGATTAGGTGCTCAGTTTTTACATTCTGTAATTCTGGGGATAAGTTCATTGAATCCATATCTTTAGGCTGCTGGATTGTGTTTTCCCCCAAATATTCCATTTCTTGAAGTGGCACTACTTCAGTTTCTGTAACTTCATGCTTTTGTATCCTTCCTATAGGTGCAGTACCTTGATCTGGTGGTTCTGGGATTGTTCTCATAGATTCCATTACTTGATGATGTAGCTGTGTTACCTCTATAGAATCCTTCACTTTTGGCCAGGTATCAGAGGTCAACCCCACAGTTTCTGTTATCTTGTGACTTTGCCTTGGGTTTGTCTCTGAATAGTTTAAGTCTTGGTGCCATGGGGTGAACTTCAAAGGGCCCATGACCTGATGAGACGGTCCTGGAGTCAATGACACAAACTCTGTGCCTTGATGTTGTGCAGTCATCCCCATGGAGTCTCCAACTTGAACCTGTAATCCAGAAGGCAATTCCAGAGATTCTTTGACTTGAGCTACTGGCTGTGGCAAACCAGGAGGCTCTACAACATGTAGTGGTGTGGTCATTCCCGGGGGTAACACCTGTACTACCGGGGTCATCTTTAGAGCATGTAGGGATTGACCTGGTGGTAGTAGAATCATTCCTGATGGTTCCAGGACTTTAGATGGCAGCTGTGGAACTACACTTCCAGATTCTATAGCTCCTACTGACACTGTAGGAGTCAGAACATCTGGTTGAGTTGACACTGAAGTCAAATTTTCAGCTTGAGGCTGTGAGCCTTGGATCAAAGCCCTCGAGTCTGTAATGGGTGGCTGTCCTGGTGGAATTAAGTGCACGAAATCCATGGTTGGTTGTGTAGTTGAGCTAATTTTCATTGTATTTTGGCATATTGGACTGGGAGCGATCCTGATGTGTTTTGTGGCTTGATTCTGTGAGCCCAAGGTCATGTTCAGTGTTTCCATGACTGTATGCTGTGGTCCTAGACTCATATTTCCTGATCCGATGGCTTGATGGTTATGCAATGTATCCATCCTCACTGGTTTCATGACTTGGTATTGTGGCTTTGGGGCTATTCCTACTGATTCTACATGTGGATGTAATTCATTAATCATCCCCATGGAATCCATTATGTGGAACAATGCTACAGGAGTTACCTTCATGTTATCTGTGACTTGATTCTGTCTTGAGGCCATACTCTTTGATTCCATAGTTTGGTACTGAGGACATGTTCCTTTTATTGATTCAATTGCTTGATTCAATGGCTGAGGAGTTATACTCACTGTTTCTGTTTGATTTGGTTGCTGTGGGGAAAACTCCACAGAGCCCATCACCTCCGAATGTGGTTCTGGGATCATTCCCATTGAGTTCATAACCTGAAGCAATGCCAATGGAGTGACCTTCATGCTGTCTGTGGCTGAACATGGTGTCTTGGGTGGCTGCTCCACATCAGTTACTGGTGCCTTATGCGGCTGTATCCTTTTTTCTGAATGACCTATGACCCTCTGTTCTATACTCAACTCTAACACATGCTTTGGATCCCTTTTCAGCAAAGCAGTTTCTTCCTGAATTATGTTAACTCCTAAATTTCTGGGAGATGGAGTGCCCATTGATATCACTAAAGGATTATATCTAACGACTTGGTGGTCATCCTCAGATTGTAACTGCTTGTTTGAGGTAAATGATTGTGACATTTTTGCTTCTGCCCTACTTAGTTCAGAGTTCATCCCAATGTTCACATGGAGATGAAATAATGGAATGTCTGGAGATCTGTTGGTGTTTTGCTCAGCACTCTGAGGAATGAATGTAGGTAACTGAGTATTGGGGAGCTCTTGTTCAGGAACTCCGTGTACATCCATAAAACGATTGAGTATTTCCCAGGATTTCTTCACAGGCAGAGGTACTACTTGTTCCCGCAAAGTAGAAACCTTCTGAGACATATGCCCCTCCAGTTCTCCTCTTATTAAAGGAGAGAGCTGGAGTGGAGCCCATACCAGGGGCCCTGGGTTCTCGTTCAAAACAGAATTTAACTCATGATCTGATAGCAAACGATTCTTTCTCTTCTCTTTCATTTTCTCTTGTTTGCGAGAATCTAGGGATTCTAAAATGGAGTTAATAAAAGAGCTTTGAGCATGTAAGGGAGGAAGCACTGCCAAATTCTGAAGGAGGTCTGATTTCTCAGGATCTGTCAGCTGAAAAGGAGGCAGGGATGTGCTGTGGCTCCCAGGCATAGATGGGGCCTTTTGGGAGGAAACAGCTGTTCCTTCAGAAAAGATTGGAAGATAAGACAGGCTCGAGCTGTTGTCAGATGACCCAGAAGACCTGCTGTAGTCAGGAGAATGCTTTCCCTTTTTACAATAACAGCAAGGTGGGGCAACTTCCGGAACTACGATGTCAGAGATGGGGGAGGAAGACACACCCCGGGATTCTAGTAATCTCAGTTCCAAAAGTGTTGACCTGAGAAACAAAGCGAAGTTTTTATTTTCTTTGGAAAAGGGGGTAAATTAAGAAGAAGAAAGAGTGATCATTTCAAATCCAAAATATTTTTGGCCTAAGGGAGGTGAGGGGAAAGAGGTAATACCTTCATAAACACCAATTATTTATGTAAAGAATTCCTCCACCCCAGAGCAAATTAGATGAGCCAGTAAAGTACATGCTATACAGAGAAGCTGAGCTCCATCCCTAGAACCCACATAAAAATAAAAGGACATAGTGTCCAATGCTAGGGAAGCAGAGAAAAGTGGATCCCTGGGCTCACTGGACAGCTAAGGCCAATTTGTGAGTCCCAGTGAATGACTATCTCAAAAAAAAAGGTAGATGGCTCCCCAGGAGTGACACCCAAATTTTATATACCACACACATATACACATACACACATACATACACACACATGCACACATGCACACACACATACATACATACACATATGCACACACACACACACACACACACACACACACACACACAGCTGTGTTTGCCATTAAGCCAGAGAACCTGACTTTGATCCCTAAGACCCACATGTTGGAAAGAAAACTGACTCCTGTGACTTGTCCTCTGACCTCCACACACATGATGTGGCACACATGCACCAAAAATACAAATAAATAAATAAATAAATAAATAAATAAATAAATAAATAAATAAATGTAATACATACTGTGGGGCCTAGAGAGATGGTTTAGCAGTTAACCAATGACTGCTCTTCCAGAGAACCCAAGTTTGGTTCCCAACAACCACATGGTATTTTACAAACACCTGTAACTCCAGTACCAGGGGATCATATACCCTCTTCTAGCCTCTGTGGGTACATGCAGGCAAAATAGCCATACACATAAAACATAAAATAAATAAAATAAATCTCAAGAGTTCTCCACTGTTCAAACCTTCTTTTACCTTCCTCCTTTACTTCTTTTCTTTTCTTCCTCCCTCCCTACCTCCCTTCAATCTCTCTCTCTCTCCCCGCTACCCAGAAACTCTGTTTCCTGACCTTGCATTTTCCAAATGTCGGAAGATCTGTCGAAGACTCCTGTCTATTGACCAGAATACATATTCCTGTGTCCAGCCCGCAGGAAGTCCTGAAATACTAGACATAGCAGAGTATGTCAACAGAACTGATATGATATTAAAGGATCAGTAAGCCAGCCAGTAAGAACAGGAAGTTAATTTAAAAGAGAGGTAATTGCTACCACAGTAAATAAAGTGCCAACTTTTACTTATAGCATTTACAGTTAAGATGTTGTCACAGCTATATTTCTATTGTTGTGGTGAAACATGATGATCATAAACAACTTGAGGGCAAGAGGTTTGTTTTTTAGCTAATAATTCTCAGGTCATACTCCCCTGCTAAGGGAAGTCAGGGTAGGAACTTAGAGCAAGATGGATCAAGGAGGCAGGTGTGACACAGAGGCTGTGGAGGAACCCTGCTTACTGGCTTGCTTTCATGACTTGCTCACCCTGCCTTCTTGTACATCTGAGGTCTCATGGATGGCATCACCCACAGAGAACTGGACCATCCCACATCAATCATCGATTAAGAAAATGCAGCCAGAAATAGTGGCATATGCCTTTCATCTTAGCACTAAGGAAGTAGAGGCCAGCCTAGTCTACATAGTAAGTTTCAGGACAGCCAGGCTACACAGAAACATTGTCAGAAAGAAAAGAAGGGAGGGAGGAGGGAGGGAGGGAGAGAGGGAGGGAGAAAGAAAGGAAAGAAAGAAAGAAAGAAAGGAAGGAAGGAAGGAAGGAAGGAAGGAAGAAAATGCACCATAGACTTGCCCGTTGGGACGATATGGGAGGGGGCAATTCAGATCCCCTCTTCCAAAATGATGCCACCTTGTATCAAGTTGACATGAAACTAGTCAGCAAGGTATTTGTCACAGGACAATCTGAAGACTCTACTTACCATGTCAGATCGGCTTCAATGATATTCATCCTGGCTTCTTCTAACTGTGAAACTGTAACACGAGTAGAGACTGTTAGCATAGTGACTACTGATGTCATCTAACAATTAAGAGAGCAAAGATGAAGTCACACCCATCATGATACCAATCAGTGATACAACACAGCTATCAAGTTTGGTTCTGTTTTTTAAGCATACTGTGCTGTCCTCATCATGTACTAGAAGTGACCCATTAGAAGCCCCAGAATGGGAATACAGAGTGAGGGGCACAGAGATCCTGATACATCTTTTCCTTCAAAGATGTCCACCCCACTTCCTCATCCATGGTAGATGAATAAAGGTGGTGGATCTCCCTTACCAAACTCTTGGTAGTTAACCTTTGCCCATTCTCCTTTCCCATACTTGGAGCGTTACATGAAAATGTATGGGACAGAGAAGCATGAGGAAAGGAAACAATGGAGGAATTATGGGGCTGTTTGCATGACTTTGGGAGTGAAGACATCAGAAAGATGGGCATACTCTCCAGCCACACCATCTTTTTGAGCTTCAACTACTAAAGCAGGTCCATGATTGATCAGTCATCAGCCTTGAGCTGACTAATGAGGGATAGAATTATTCTGACCTGTGAGTCTCTGGATCTGTTTTAGATTATGTTGCTTGGAAGCCTAGAGAAACACACACAAAAAGAAACAAAGTCAGGTTTATGTTCTAGGTTGGGGATTTTATTGACAATACATCTCATCTTATCTATGAAATATAGGTATGTTTTATATCAGGTATCAATACACTGTCATCTGTAACCATATCACCAGTTACTATCTCATTTATTTATTTATGAATAATTTATTAAATATACTAAGGGTATGTGTGTGTATGTGTGTGTGCATGTGTGTATGTATGTATGTAGCTCTGTGGGCACAGGTGTTTGGCACCGAGCCTGATTACCTGAGTTCCATTTCTGGAGCCCACATAGTCAAAGGAGAAAAGCAATTTCCACAAGTTGTTTTCACTTGCACATGGATGCTATGGGCATTTGTACATACATGCACACACATACAAATTAGTAAGTGTGTAGGCTGGAGAGATGGCTCAGCAGTTAAGAGCACTAGCTTCTCTTCCAGAGTACTGGGTTCAATTCCCAGCACCCACATGGTGGCTCACAAATTAGTAAGTGTTAAAAAATAAATAAAACCTAAGTCCTAGATTGTTGTGTGTAGTACTGAGACTCTAGAGATAAATATGAGTCCTGTACTCTAGAGACTTGCATTAGTAAGGAAAATATCCAACTAAGCGATAAGATGTCATGTGGGAGCCAGCAAAATGACTCAGGTACCTGTTGCCAAGCCTTGGCAACCTACGTTCAATCCGTATGACCAGTATGGTAGATGAAAATAACTGACTCTTGCAGGTTTTTCTCTACTTCTACATGCCCCATGCATACATGTACACGCGCGCGCGCGCGTGCACGTACACACCACAAACATAATTTTTAATATTTTTTTTTCTTTTTTGTATTTTTTTTTTTGAAACAGTGTTTCTCTGAGTAGCCCTGGCTGTCCTGGAACTCACACTGTAGATCAGGCTGGCCTAGAACTCACAGAGATCCTGCTTCTGCCTCCTGAGTGCTTACATATGTGGTAAATGTCATATCAGCTGGGCAGCAGTGGTGCGCGCCTTTAATCCCAGCACTTAGGAGCCAGAGGCAGGCAGATCTCTGGGAGTTTGAAGCCAGCCTGGTCTACAGAGCAAGCTCCAGGACAGCCAGGGCTGAACAGAAAATCCTGTCTCAGAAAAAAAAAAAAAAAAAGAGAGAGAGAGAAAAGAGGGAGAAAGAGAGGGAAGGGGGGAGGGAAGAAAAGAATATCATTGAACACAGAAGCCTGTGTTTAATTTCATAAAGAATGGAAGAATAACTCTAGCATAATAGCCATTTATGCTAGAGATCAAAAAGTTGGTAGATTTTCAGGTGAAAAGCACACTGTAAGCAAGTGAGATTGTCATTGCAAATGTCATATTGTGAATCTCTGGTGCATTTTCTGAGCTTTTGGGAGGTGAGGCTTGAAAGGGGACAAGGGGAATGACCTTGATAGGATTTATGTTCCAGTTCCTAAGACCTTTATAACAAGTGGTAAATTCCTAAGGCTTTGCAAAGATGTTCCGGGTCAATTTAAGGGTATTAATGACACTTGTTACCATTAAAAATATTTTTTAAAAAGCTTATTCCTCCTCTTTGAATCAGCATATCAGTTATCTCAAAGGTGTCAAAAGAGCCTAGATAACAATTCTGGGGCATTTGATGAATACGCCCATGATTCACTAGCCCAGCTTGAAGCAAAATATCTCTAGTTGTAGTGGTAGTTTTGACAGTTTTTAACTTATTTTATGCTTAGTCATGCATTATTTAATAATTTTTGTCCATGGTTGACCATTAATTAAAGAGGAAAAGCAAAAGAAAAGCAAAGCAAAAGGACTGTCTACCAATAGTTCTTCTGTAGATTTACGTCCATGTGACCTACATAGATCACAGACCTAAGTAATCTGGAAAGTGCTGCACTGTGAAATACCTACAGATACTGGTTAAGATGTGGCATCTTTTTAAAATGCAGATTTTATCCTCTGTGAATTACAAAGCGATATTGAGAATTTTTCCAAGTGGAGCCCAGGGAGCTACTGATGGAAGCTATTCTCGTCTCAGGTTGCTGCTTAGGAAGCTTGGTCCCCTCCACCCTTCACTGCAGGCCTCTGGGACAAACACACTGAAAGACCAGACAACTAGAAACTCGGGACACATGCCCATCGGCTCTTCAGCTCTTGTTTTATGGATATTTTATCTGGCATGCAGACTTTTCTTTGTCGTCTATTGGTTACATGGGCCCTGTTCTTTCCCAGTAGTCAGTGCTGCTCGCCCATACACACTCCTACTTGCCCTGTCTTCCTCAGAACACGGATCCAAAGGCTCCTGGACCTGTGTTTCTTGAATTGCTATTTATAGGACCTCAAATGAGTTCTTTTAATTTTACAGGTTCGGGTTGAATTGGGTAGGACACTGCAAAGAGAGTGAGGAATCCCATAAAGGAAAAAGAAATCCTGAAAAGCAACAAGGAAACCTCAGAGGCTATGCTGAGGTCCTAAGTCACTTCAGTATCAGACTGTTAGAAAATTTGGATTAGGAGCAAAGTTGGGACAAAGAAATGTCCTGTATAAGGTATGCATTTGGAGTAAGACCTTGTTTAAAAAAACCAAGACTCTCAGTGTGCCACAGAGGAAACATAGTAAGAAGTTGCCGAAACTGAGATAAAATTGGTTGTGTCAGACATGAAAACAGTAGAGCCTGGAAAGCATTTGCTCCCTTCTGCTGGAGATAAGTGCAGTACCAAAGACTTTCTACATGCACCTCAAGAGTCCTCCTTCTACATCAGTGGTTCTCAACCCCTGTGTGGGCCACAACCCCTTTCACAGGAGTCACCTGAGACCATTGGAAAACACAGATATTTACATTTCTATTTATAACTAGCTAAACTGCAGTTATGAAGTAGCAATGAAAACGATTTTGTGATTGGGGTCACCACAACATGGGAACTGTATTGAATCGTCTCAGCATTAGAAAGGTTGAAAGCCACTGTTCTACATTAACTCAGTGTTCATATGCCTCTGTATGTACACACAGATACCCTAAGTTTATCCTTAATGGTCTTTAAAACTGCAGACTTTCATCAGGATGTCCCCAACTGAATATTTGCCTAGTAACAGCCTTTCCATCAACGGGCTGATGCCGACTCCTGTTTCAGATCTGTGAAATTTGATTTCAAACAGACCACTTTCCTTTGACTTCAATAGTCATAATTTACTATATTAGACATATTCCCCCAAGTGCCCTGCTGTACCCTATTTCTTTCATGTAGAACAGTAGTTATCTGAGCCAATGGTGACCAGAAAATCCCTGCTCACGAGGTGAGGAAGAATGAGCTCTGAGTATGTTTTCACCAAAGAATTCTTTTTAAAAGGCTTATGTGTTGAATGCTTGATCCTCAATGCAACATTCAGAGATTGGGAAGTGATCAGACCACAGGAATGCCAACTTAGCATTATTGGAAATCAGTAGGAGGTGAACCTGTTATGCTACCAGGATCAAGTCCTTGAGTAGTATGTATACCTTGTCCTCGGTTCCTTGTTTTGTTTTGTTTCCTGATGGCCATTAGAGGGCTCTATTATGTTTCCACCTTGGCTCAGAGCATAGTAAACCACTCTGAGTTTTCCTTACAATTTTGTGAGAAACTAACTAATGCACGTTTGTAAAAGAACTTTATCTGAACCTTCACCCCTAGGGCAGCAATGTTCGGCAGGTGGAACTGTAAATCTTAGAAATAGAAAACTAGAAAAAGGAGGGGAGAATTTGAATGACTATATATTGAAACCTGATAAAAGAACTCATTACATTCTTAGAAAAATATATTTGCACCAAAATTTGCAAAATTACAGATCACTTGAGTAGGACCAATAAGTATGAAAACAATGGCAATAATAGCTATTCTCCAACAAATCTAATATGTATACATATAAATATTGTTTGTTTTGTTTTGTGTTTGTTTTTTTAATTTGAGACAAGATCTCATGTAGCCCAGGATGTCCTTTAATTTGCTATGTGGCTGAAGATGACCTTGAACTCCTGATCCTCCTGCCTTTACCTTCCAAGTGCTGAGATTACAGGCCAACACTACCAGATCAAGCTATAAATAGTGCATATAGTATACATCAAATTTTTGAATCCAAAACAAACTTATAAATATTAATCATGCCTATATAGTGGCACATGCCTATAGTAGCAGCATTTGGGACTAAAAAGGAACATTTTTATTTAAATAAAAACTCCAAATATTTAAAGTAATAAAATACATTCTTTATTATATTAATAAATAAAGTGATAAAATATCAAAGTATTTAATTAACAAATAACAGAAGTTTATATATAAAAACATTTAACACAGGACAGAAATGAAAGTCTGAATAATTGGAGAGATATTCTAGGCTTTTAGCTGAGATGATTTTAATTTCAAAAATGTCAGTCCTCCCTAAGTTAAATTCTACTTTAAGGCATTCTTAATCCATGTATCTCTTGGAATGTTTCAATATAAAGATCTGTTAATTGCCAAAAGTAACCATAAATAAGTATAAGGGAGCAACTTGCTGGACCAAAAATTAAGACCAGCTGATAAGCACAGGAGCAGACAGGTGGCATTTAAAAAAAGGAAGGAAGAAAGGAAGGAAGGAAGGAAGGAAGGGCTCTGAAATAATCAGGATCTCTGTGCTTTTGAGGCCAGCCTGACCTAAACAGTCCAAGACAGCCTGGGCTACATAGGAGACCTGTCTCAAAACAAACAAAAACACCCAAAACCCAGCTCTGAAATAAATTCACTTATATGTAGCAGTTTAATTGAAGAGCGCTCCACGTAGTGACAAGAAAATGATTCTGTAGCTGTGATGATAAAGTTTTGTCAACTTGACAAAATTTCGTGCCCGTGAGGAACTGTCTTGATAACCGTTACCTGAGTACCACTATGGGCAGCGCCATTCTTTGACTGGGGTCCTAGACCATGTTCGTGGGTAAAGGGAAGGGAGTTGCAGTTTGGACATGGGCTCTCTGTTTTTTTACTGCAGATGCAATGTG